AGCTCAACAGGAATACAGGCAGGGGGCAAACTCTCACAGCGGCAGTGAGGAAGGACTTTTAACGCAGACCTCACCATCTTTGTTCAGCCGTGGCGTTTGAACTTCATTGCCCCACTCTGACTACCTCTGTCTCTGGAAGATTAAACCAGCGCAGCACTAGTAACCAGAAACAGGTAAGGACAAGTAGGTATTAACTAGACACAGCACTTGACAGATGTTTTTTCAGATACTGTACAGCTCCTTTTTATCCTGCCATCAAAAGAGCCAACAACCAGCAGCACTGAGAGCAGATCTGTTGGTTCTTCTAACAGATGAAAGTGAATATGTAATTAACATGCTGTAATTGCGGCTCATCTCGCTTTTTATTCCGTGCTCTCTTTCCAGTCACGGTCAGAGGCCCAAGCCTATGAAATATATATATTTAATGAAAGAAGACAGACTGTGAACATACTGGATTCTGAGCTACTACTGTACACGTAGAAACAGATCAATTCCATCGACAGCTGATGCTGCTCTTTTTGACCAAACAAATATACGAGACATTTAAATCAGACCCTGCAAAGCATCTTTACATTCATGATTGTCAATATAACATTTATAAGCTTTTTTCTTTTCTATGTCTGAATCCACAAAATAAATATTCTCTTCCACCACAGTTCAGTAGCCAAACCACAGAAACAACACGTTCCACTTAACATTAAAGAAAAACGGGGGCCACTTTTCTGCATGGCTTCAGCATTAAAACCGTTCTTCCATGCTCCATAAAAACTGTCTCGACCACCACACACCACTGCTCTATGCAAACACTATCACAGGCACAACCTCTGCCCAACATTAGAAAACTGAACCATACAGCTTTATAAGCTGCCTCATAGTAGAGTCCACACACAGAGAGCAGAGAGAACTGTTGGTTGGTGGAAATCCAAAAGCAGTGTTGTGGGAGATGGCGCTCCTCGCCAAAGATATCAGATTAAGCAGAGCTTTCAGGATCCATCCAGAGTGGGGGGCGAATAGATGACATTATCTGCTGTGGTTTGGTTAGTCTGGCAGGGCGGAACCTTGTTCTGTTGAAACGGTGGCACACAGTTGTTGTTCTTTTCCACTCCATTCTTTTCCACATTTTAAAAATAAAAGGAGTTAAATTTGGCAAATCTTAACACTCAGTGGTTGCAAAGATGCCAATCATCAGTTCCTGTAATATCAGTAAATGTCATTAGGGAACAGGTACTTGGAGTGAATAGCAAATAGTTTTTTTTTGGACTTTTGTTTGACAAAGGTTCAACTACTGCCTTACGTGGTTGATGACAAATTTATTCATCCCGGTTTCACCATGAAGGGAAACAACCTTAAGCAAAGCTGAACACCGCAAATCTTAGAGATTTTTGGGCGTCTCCAGTCAGGTTAAGAAAAACATCAGTCACTGAAGCTAAAAGTCAGTGTCAACAAAGCCTGCTTTCTCAGTCATATAACAAACTTTGTCACAAGACAATTGACTTAGACCTATACCATCTCTGTTAGATACTTGTTGTGAAATGGCAGGACTGGATTTCAACACTGCTGTCCTGGAAGTTACTAGCAGAGTGGACACTCGCCTCATGTTAAGCACGAAACATCTCAGCTGGGGTGACCATCTTCACTATAGACTGGACAAGTGGATCCACAAAACACTGCTTCATGGAGAACAAGAAATGTCCTTGAAGAAGACCCATGTAAAGCATTGACCTTGTGGAGCAACGCCTGCAGCCATCAGTAAGGTTTCTCTGTCGATTGAAAACATTTCACATTGCAATGTATTAACTGTGCAGACTTTTTAAGCCACTGCAGGCGATAGCATATTAATGTAGATGGACAATGTAATGGACAGGACATCCTCGGCCAATTCCCCGAGGACTGAGGCCTTAATCCTACATGTCACCCTCATCACATAATGAACAGACAGACAATGTCACGTCTGGTACTTGGTAATGAGCAGCAGACATGAGAGTTAGAGAATTAAATGGACTAACTGCTGGCTTTAGCACTGAGAGACATCAGTGTCTGAGCCCAATGATTACCACAGCTCCAAACAAAGTGACATTTGTCTGACAATAAAATTGGATACTAACCTGTCTGAAAGCCGTCTCCATTTGCCTAGAACAAATGTTGGCATCGCCCAACACTTTGACACACTTTCCATCTTCAATGCAAGAGAAGGCGACGCTATCCTTTGGCTCACAGTAATGGCCCCTCATTGTTGGCCGCAAAGGATGTGCTGCTATTCATACCGGTGGATGATTGAAAAGAAAATTGAATCTCTTTTGATGTGATAAATGTGTCTATTACTGCATTTGCACACAAACTGTCGGGGGAAATTATAGTGGGAGGCAGGGCTCACAGGGGAAAAAGTGCATAGGGATGGCCTATTTGCTATCCTTCATTTGAGTTAAATAAAAATATACTGTAGCGTTAGATAAAGATGAGTCCGAGCTCACTGATTTTTTTTCCACAAACTTCACAAATGAAAGGCCTTCGGAGACCCAGTTGTAAGACTATATGAAAGGTTAAATGTCTGCATAGATTTCTCCCCCTTTTCTTCCAAAGAACTCTTTTGATAAAGGATACCAACAACTGTTTGCCTGGTAATAAAAGCAGTGTTTTTTTCTCCCTTTCAAAAAAATAAGCTGTCTATGCATACAAATTTCTCTCATACCGGCATCTCATCCACATCTATAAAAGCACACACATTATTTGTTTGACAACAACACAATTTCATACTACATAACTAATCACATGCACAATAAGCAGCCTTCTCCTTCTTGCACTCCACACTTTCATGAACATGTTCCGTCTTTGTTAGAGTTAATGAATGTAACCTTTCCTTGTACGTAGAGTTCAGAGTTGGAGGGAAAAACTTTCTTAAGATGTTTCTGTGGAGAATGCAGCACTACAATGCACATTCAAAACATTTTTATCATGATTTAATATTTACTGACAATTTTGTCAACACTCTTGTTGTTCAATGATCTGTCAAGGTCATCCAACTAAAATGGTTCTAGATAATGGAACAGGGTTTTTTTCTGTACTTATTTAGTTAATTGTGAGAACAGGCATCACTGCTTCACATTCAGATGATGGCTTATACAGTAAGTACTTTGGTGAAGCTTAGGTTTACAGTAAGAGTTTAAGAGTTTGTTGATTTAAAGTTGGCTGTTTTGTGGATGTTTAGACATTACTAACAGTGACTGTGACTGTGCTAAATAGCAGCATTTGTGTTAATAAAACCTGTGAATTTTCCCCTAAGGCAGTAGCGTGCAGCCCACTGCTTCTGTTGGATGTTGGGTTGGATGCAGAGGACAAACTGGGTTTCTTATTCTAAGGTGCCTTTGTGAAGTTAAACAATTTTTAAATTTAAATTTATCTTCTGCATATTAAATTTAAATCACAAAGGAGGCTGCGTTTGAGGTGGCAGAGAAGGAGGTGCTGGTACTGCCATTGGCCCGGATCAGGATGAACAGGATTAGAAATGAGGAGGTGACAGAAACAGGTTGTTTGAAGAACAACCTGGGTACTTCACCAGTAGAGAATGAAAAAAGAGCTGATTTTTAACTGTTTCCAAATAACCTGCAATACACCATTTACTGTAAGGATCTTGGAAATGTTTTTGTCAAACAGCATTTTCTCTGAAACAATGCATCAGTCAACAGGAGACCCTCCACAACAACCTTTCCAACTTTACTTTCATAATTTGCTTTTTTTCCCCCATGACATAAAACAGAAAAACCCTCAGCTTTGGTAATGTAACATTTGACAAAACTCCAATGACATAAAAATGTCTTTGTTACTGATTGCTGTCTTCAACACTGCTCCAAGGCCCATGTTAACGTCTGCATTCACAGTAAGACAAAAAAAGAAAAAAATAAGAAAATAATTGCCTCAGAAGAGTCTTACACTACACTACCTGTGTGTAACTGTACATGGGAGCACACACACCAACACAAGCACCATTTTCTTCTGCTGCCTGACCCTTACATTTTTAATCACAACACTCATCTTCCTTTCAATAAACAACATCTTTGATGATGAAGACACTCTTTGATGGCAAGTGAATTTCATTTGCGTCTAAAAGCTTGCAAAGTATTCAGTTCAAGACGATCGCCATGCCTGTGACTTCTAGGCAATTATGCAAAATGGTAAACATTGGCCCGTCTTCTAAATAATTTAATAGGCTAAAAAAATGCTGCTCCAATGTTTATGAAATTTTCGTTTTGTGTTTACAGAGTGTTCACGCTGAAAAATTTCCATGGCATTGAGTTTGAGCAAGAGGTCATGTTTGAATGAACCAATTACAGGACATTAAAATGGGCTCTTGACTGGAGATTACGCCACAACCCAAGTCAAAACAATAGACTACTCCCCGAGGCATATGTTTCACATCTGCAGAGTATTTAGGGAGAGAAAAATCATTACTTACACTTACTTTTGAGCTCGAATGGAGTTAAATGATCTAACTCAAATTCTGTGTTTCAGGGATCTGTGCCGTCTTCTGTTTCTAGTTTTTTATTTTATGTTCCTGTTGGTGGCAGTGTCAGTGGGACTGAATGAAATAACTCAGTTTGTGAAAAGAAAACACACTCAGCTCAATTTGGACACAAGTGTCTCTTCTTTGTGGCCTCCAAAAGTAAACAGCATCCATTTTTCCACAAGAAGGTGACAAAAACGTATCCAAAGATTAATTAATTACAGGATTTATTTTTGTGTTGCTTTTCAATAGGCCCAGGTATTCAATATTTTTGTCGAGCAAGTCATTGCAGGTGCAACGGGATTTTTGTTCTCAATTCATTAACAACTTGTAGT